TTCTATACTCCCAGGCAAATCCAGATTTGTTTCGTTCACAAAGGCTGTAGAATTGCTGTTGAATGTGGAGCTGTGAGCAAATGTCAGAATACTCAGTGAAACTCCAGGTCTGCTGGTTTAATGATAAAGCACTCTTGATGAGATGCGACACAGAAGGAGAAAATGTGACCCCGATGAGCAGCTGCAAGACGTGGTGTATTTTGTTTACTGATAATTGTAGGTGTGTTTATGTAGGTGTAGTCACATTTTCTAATTTACACATTACTTTTTTTTTTCATTAAGTATCCTTTTGATTTTAGATTTAGCCTTGACTAGAATGTGGAAGGCAAAGGTTACAACAGTCCTAGTCTCTCATGGCCAGACCATTTTCTCATGCTGACACAGCACTAAGTAGAATGGTCTGACTACACTGCACTGCATTGTCATTCTGCTATAAAGGGGGAAATAAAAAGTTTTTGATGTGTTCACCCAAAATAGTGACAAAGGGAGTCGAGAGGTGCTGTTAAAGAAGGCCGCCTTACTGGACGAGACAAACATTCTGCAAAACTTGAAATTTTCATTGTGATAGGTTGTTGTCGTTTCCTAAAGATGATTTTGAAAATGATAATGCATAGACAGCAGAAGGAGAAAAGCATGTGAAATGCACAGACAATAGCAGGCTTTCACCCACAGTCTATATGTAGTGAGTCAGACGAGTCAGACTAATTCAATATGTACCACTTGTTAATTAAGACCAACAACCAGTTACATTATGAAAATCAATTCCATTCATATCTGAAGACTGTGAATGCTCAGTAAAAGTGTCAGCTTGAAAATCCCTGCTGTAATGTGACAGAATACACGATATACAGAGAAATGGTGGTGTTGAGGGGAGCTGATGTTCGCCCAGAACTCATATTTGCAGTGGGCCTTGGAGCTGGTTTATTTAGCCCTGATCACCATGTATGTATGGATAAATGGCAGTGTATTTTCAGGTGAAGGCCCCCAAAACAATGGTACATTCATTTTTTTCCCCTAATAACCACCCTTTTCCCCTCGTCAGGCTTCTACTTAAAAGGAAAGCAAAATGCTGCCGTTCCACACCTTGACACCTGCCACAGCGTTGTGCAGCCGATTTGATAATCTTACATTAAAAGAAGTGAGGTATCTGGTGGCGGAGACTGCTTTCCACCGCCTTTAATCAATGAAAACGTTTTTGTGGGCCTCCGGAGAGCGAGTGGGGCTGAAGATAAATATTGGCAGAAAAGAAAAATGTGTTGTCCTCCCCAATCGAGGGGACATAATGATATTCAGAAGGAGACCCCCTGTTGAGACGCAAAGCAAACTGTTCCTAAGCAACAAAACACATTCTCCCGCTCCGAATGCTCAGAGCGAGACTAGTAGCAGGGTTTTTTAGGGAGGTGTGTGTGTGTGTGTGTGTGTGTGTGTGTGTGTGTGTCGGTCAGTGTTTGTTTTTTTGGGGGGTACCCCTGATGACTTAACCAATCAGTTTGATTGTGTGTCCTTCTCCCTGTAGCTAAAACGTGTCTATTTGAGTATGAGTTAGTAGTTTATGTCTGTGCGTGTGTGTGTGTGTGTTTTAGCTTTGTTGTTAGTGTTTGTCTGTCACTTCTGTATGTGTGAGCTTGCATTGCTCATTCTGCTTCATTCACACTGCTTCATTGTGTGTGTGTGTGTGTGTGTGTGT